AACAGACACATGAAAAGATGTTCAACATCACTCATTATCAAGGAAATACAAATCAAAACCATGATGAGATACCACCTCCCACCTGTCAGAATGGCTAAAATTAGCAACACAAGAAACAACAGGTGTTGGTGGGGACGTAGAGAAAGGGGAACCCTATTGCACTGTTGGTGGGAATGCAAACTGGTGCAGCCACTCAGGAGAACAGTATAGAAATTCCTCAAGAAACTAAAAATAGAACTACCCTACAATCCAGCAATTGCACTATTAGGTATTTAGCCAAAGGATACAAAAATACAGATTTGCAGAGAGAGTCCAAATGTCCATCAACTGATGAATGGATAAGGAAGATGTGATACACACACACACACACACACACACACACACACACTGGAATATTACTCAGCCATAAAAAAGAATGAAATCTTGCCATTTGCAATGAAATGAATGGAGCTAGAACGTATTATGCTAAGCAAAATAAGTCAACCAGAGAAAGACAAATACTATATGATTTCACTCATATGTGGAATTTAAGAAACAAAAGAGATGAACATATGGGAAGTTGGGGGAAGAGAAGAGAAGGAAACAAACCACAAGAGACTCTTAATGATAGAGAACAAAGTATGGGTAGATGGAGGGAAGTGGGTAGGAAATGGGCTACATGGGTGATGGGCACTAAGGAGGGCACTTGTGATAAGCACTGGGTGTTGTATGTAAGTGATGAATCACTGAATTCTACTCCTGAAACCAATATTGCACCGTATTGTAACTAACTAAAATTTAAATGAAAAAAAAAATAAATAAATACCTGGAAAAAAAAAAAAAAGAACTCTCCTCCCATTTTAAATTCTCAAGGGCATAGGGTATTTTCCAAGCCTCTTTCACATCTGCCAATCAAACCAAGACTGCAAAGCTAAACAGAGGACACCTTCTTGTACCAAAAATATCACTTAAAGATTCGAGATAAAAGCTTAAATACTATTCCCACAGGGAACAGACAACTTTAAATATTATTTCTATATTAGCACACAGCTATAGAGTAGATCAGAATGCATAAGACTAAGATAAAACACGAGACTTCAAGAGCTAGGCTGGCTCTATGTAGTCACTCTCCCTGTGATTAAGAGCGGATGAGTTGGAGTTGCAGAGAAGCAGGACTTTAGACCAGAGCTTCTCAAAGTATAGTCCACAGACTGATGCCAGTCCACAAACTCTTGTTACTAATCCATGATAAAAAATAAATATCCAACTTGAGAATAATTATTTAGAAAGTCTTACAGAAATCTGATACTGCCATAACAAATTTGGACTTTTATTTTGCATTTCTTTCATTTTTCTCCTGTTCATTTTTCTAAATATGCATTTAGATTGCATTTCATAAAAGCATGGTCCACAACAGATTGGAATTTTTTAAAAATCCAACTGGCCCTTCAATACAGATAGTGTGTGAAGTACTGCTCTCACCACTGGGAAGGGTAAAATGCATGATGATGTCCCTGTTGTTTACAGAGAAGAAATCTGTTGAGACAAATACTGTCTGCATATCTAATCCATCCAGATCAAGAATTAATCTTTCCAACGGCACCTGGGTGGCTCAGTCGGTTAAGTGTCCCAACTCTTGATTTCCGGCTCAGGTCACAATCTCATGATTGTGAGATCGAATCCTGCATCTGCTGGTGCTGTCTGCTGTCTCCCTCTCTCTCTGCCCCTCCCCTGTTCTCTCTCTCTCTCTCAAAAATAAACATTAAGAAAAATAAAGAATTAATCTTTCCCTTGGATTCATCCTTATTTAAAACTCCCTCTACTAATAGTGAATTTTCACTCTGGACATATTTAAAATATAGTGATTATAGTCCTTGGGTACCCATCATAGCTTAAGCCTCAGAAACACCTACATCCAGATGATATTAATGGTAATCAACACAGAGAAAAAAAATCTGACAAATATTTATGAGAGAGAAGGCACACTTTAAATGTAGGCTCCTAAAGACAAAAGTCACTCAAATGGAACAAAAGAAACTGAAACCTAAAAACAAACTAAACAAAAAATTTTCTTCTAAAGTCACAGGATCTAAGGTATGTGTGGCTGTTAACTAACTTGGATTTAAATTTTATTATTATTAAATATAATTTATTGTCAAATTGGTTTCCATACAACACCCAGTGCTCATCCCAACAGGTGCCCTCCTCAATGCCCATCACTCACTTCCCTTCTCCCCCAGCCGTGACCAACCTTCACTTTGTTCTCAGTATTTAAGAGTCTCTTATGGTTTGCCTCCCTCCCTCCCTCTCTGTAACTTTTTTTTCCCCTTCCCCTCACTCATGGTCTTTTGTTAAGTTTCTCAGGACCCACCTATGAGTGAAAACATACAGTATCTGTCTATCTCTGCCAGCCTTATTTCACTTAGCATAATACCCTCCAGTTCCATCCACGTTGCTACAAATGGCCAGATTTCATTCTTTCTCATTGCCAAGTAGTATTCCATTGTATATATAAACTACATCTTCTTTAACTTGGATTTAAATTTTATAAATAAATAAATAAATCCAAGATGCTACCACTGAGCTTTTATATAAATTAATTATTATGAATTAATAATATTATAAATTAATAAATTATAAATTAATAAATATATACTTATATATTATATTATCTATTTACATATTATATAAAATTATAAAAATATGTATAATATATATTACTTATATATTATATAAAATTATAAGAATATATATATGTATTTTATATATAACATATTTATGATGAATATATATAAATTAATAAATTAAATAAAATAAATTATAAATAATTTATTTATTTATATAAATATAAATTATATTTAATATAATTTAAAAATAAATGTATTAATATTGTCAAAAAATAAGGTATGTATGGATAGCAGCTGGAGGAAGTGGAGGAATGGCAAATCATTCCTTTGGGAATCCCAAAAGCACTCTTCTTTACCTATACACCCTTGATTCTGAATCTTGTTTCACTGTTTTTAAGTGTGCACGATGGAAACAAAACTTAGATTATGATTCTTTCCTAAAGACTGTTCTACTGTGCCTGGATTTCCTTCCAAAACAATAAAAGCTATTTTGAGAAAAATTCAAATCCATTTCAAAGTTAGCACAGCAATCCCAACTTGCATTTCATAAACATATAAGTGAAACAAATTGTTTGGATAATCACAACTGAGAATAGAACTCTCAAATACATAAAAACTCACAGCCTAATGCTATCTAGATTAATATTCATCTCTTAGGATGACAAGGTGTCTTCTTTTAAGACCTTTTGTCAATTTCACTTCTGAGTATCAACGGTACTTTAAATAAAACAAACCCTACTTCATTTGATGTGCAGCTTTTAAAAAAGGCATTACAAAACACCTGTAGGTCACTCAAGTGACTAAAATACTGAACAAATTCTGATATACATTTGAGTTTAACTTCTAACAAGACAGGGATACACGGAGTGACTGACTAAAAGAAAAACTATAATAAAAACTAAAAATAAAAAAGGCTATCCAAATTATCTTCTTAGCCTTGAAACTCATACAGAAAGGTGAAAAAGAGAGCCATGAAAACCAGGTATAATCTCAAAAGGAAGAGTGTGCAGTGTAATGCACCAGGACTCCAATAACAACAAGTCAGTTTATCCTGTAATGCAGCTTACCCTGAGACCTGGAAGTCCAATTCAACACTCACTACATTCAGAACTGCATGTGTAGACTTTGTAAGGAAAATGTTAACTGAAATGAGGAAAAATCCTATAAGACCCCTCTATCATTTATTTCATTAATGGACAAACATACTAAGAAATTCCAATAATTCCAAGTTAGAACAAAAGTCCTACTGGGATTTCTCAAAAGCATTTCTTTTAACCAAGATACCATTTCTTTTTTATACAATTCATGAAGGCTGACTTGCAAATGTATAGGAAAGAACTCTGGAAACATTTACAAGGAAAGGAGAAAATGCTTTTACAAATTAAAATGTCAAATCTCCCAAATCAGATTAACTAAACTAAATTAAAAGGATATTAGAAGTAACCACTAAAGGAAAGGGAATAATGGAGTGCCTATGCTTCATAGGGTTCTAACTGTGTGTGGTCTAAGATGTTGAATGTTCTGGTCACTACAAGTCTGAAAAGCTGTTTTGAAAGTGAAACAAAAGAGGCAACCTGAAAAATTTCAACAATTAGGACCACACAAAGGGAGAATTTGAAAGAGACCAGTAACACCAAATTTAATAATAATAGCAAACGCTTATATGTGTTTACTATACACCAGGCACTATTCCAAGTCTTTACATATATTAACTCACACAAACTATTACAAGTAATTGATGGCCATGCTTCATAACCAGATTCACTCTATTGTATTTTTTTTTTAAGTCACTGCTTTTACAGTTCTTGGTAAGCTTTCAAATCCCAAACTGAAAGTAAACTACTTACTATAAATCCCCAAACATACCAACGTTGCTGGTTTTCACTCTCTTCACTATTTCAACGATTTATTGCTCCTTGATGTTTTACCTCATTACAACATAACAGTTTTTATTTTTTATAATTTTTTAAAAAAAATTTTTAATGCTTATTTATTTTCGAGACAGGGAGAGACAGAGCATGAACAGGGGAGGGTCAGAGAGAAAGAGAGGAAGACACAGAATCCAAAACAGGCTCCAGGCTCTGAGCTGTCAGCACAGAGCCGACGCAGGGCTCGAACTCACGGGCCACAAGATCATGACCTGAGCTGAAGTCGGACGCCCAACCGACTGAGCCACCCAGGCGCCCCCATAACAGTTATTTTAAAAATTGAACCAACTAAAATCAAAAAAGACATGGCTGGCATCGCAAAACTAAGAATCACAATCACTGACTTGCTAGGCTGAAACTGAGTTTGCATTCTAAAATTCTATTTCAATTCATTTTCACATATTAAGAGTATAATCAATATTCTTAGTATAAAATTCAACAAAAACACCACATGAAAAATAATTACCTGAATTTGAATCTGGAAAAGACAAATAGCAAATATTGGTTTTCTGAAAAAGAAAACAAAAGCTATATATGTTGATACACATACACCAATAAAAACAAACAGAAACACCATAGTAGACTATACAGAGCAACATTGTTACTTACTTCCTTATCAGTAAGTTTGGAATGTTGAGGATAAATTACCTGGAAGAAAAAGAATTAAATTTTGTTAGACAAATATATTGAGTGTATATTATAAACATTAGTAGGTACTTCTATTACTAGTTGGCTATGGTCAAATAGTTTTAAGACATAGTTCACAAGGGGCACCTGGGTGGCTCAGTTGGTTAAGCGTCCAAACCTTGATTTTGGCTCAGGTCATGATCTCACACTTCATAAGATCAAGCATCTCACATCGGGCTCTGTGCTGAAAATGCAAAGCCTGCTTGGGATTCTCTCTTGCCCTCTTTTTGCCCCTCTTCTGCTTGCTCTCACTCTCTCTCTCAAAATAAATAAATAAACATTAAAGAAATAGTTCACAAACTCCAATAATGAAACATAAAAGAAGCTTGGGAGAATTGAGTAGGATTTACACTAGGGAAAAAAAAAAGTTCTGAGTCAAAGTTATCTCTAACAGATTGGTGAAGTCTTGGGTTATCAAGAATAATTTAGGGGCAACTGGATGGCTCAGTTGGTTAAGTGTCTGACTTCAGCTCAGGTCATGATGTCACAGTTCGTGAGTTCGAGCCCCACGTCGGGTTCTGTGCTGACAGCTCAGAGCCTGGAGCCTGCTTTGGATTCTGTGTCTCCCTCTCCCTCTGCCCCTCCCATACTCAGCTCTGTCTCTCTCGCTCTCAAAAATAAATAAACATTAAAATTTTTTTTTTAAAAAAAGAAGAATTTACCAACTGAATTACTAATAACTCAAAGCTTACTGAGTCTTTTCTT